TCCCAGGCAAGTACTGACAAGTACAGTAACCTTATCAGCCAAGTGCCCTCACCTGCCTCTAGAGATCCGGGCATGACCTTCACTTGGGAGGTGAGGGTTTTTTCCTTGCCCCAACATGAAAACAAGGTGCCAGACCCTACCATCCATCATGTGGTCAATATGGCACCAGCCAGACCTGACCTCCCTACTTCATTCCCCCTTTTTTTCTTATGTACATGAGATCAAATCATTGATTTCTCTGTAGGAGAGCTGAATTTTTGCCTGGGCTATTCTTGCCTGTAATTTAAGAAGTTGCCAGCCATTAAATTTGGCTTCAGGGGACTTTGTGAATTTTCTTTTCCCAGGTCAGGCAGGGGAAGGTTTACAAACCTATGCCCCATGGAAAGAATGTCTTACAACCAAAGTCTTAGGTTTGTCAGATACAAAGCAGTCTTTCACCAGGAATCATCTGCGTGTGATTGAGTTGGGCAAAAGTTCAGTCTACTTTCTCCACGGTGGAGGTGGTCAGGATGAGGATGTAGTCTCCTCCAGATTATTATGATTAGTAGTAGTAGTAGCAGTAGTAGTAATATTAATTATTTGTAGTAGTTGTATTTTGTTGTATATACCAACTGCTGAGATTTCTGTTCATTATCCAATAAGTGAGAAAATAATATTTTATGCTCACATATTCATAATAGTATGACATTAGTCTTCAAATCAGATTCATTTCCTTCTTTTGAAATTTTAGGTGCTCCATACTCTTTCTGAATCTCTCTTGATTCTTCCTATGACTCTCAAGAACCATGCCAGGTACAGAACTCCAAGGTTCCTCCTGTTTTGGTTAATAAAGTTGATAGTAAATTATTTTCAATTAATAACTTCTTTCACTTTCTCAATTTCAATTCTGCTCACCTTTGAAATGATATATGAAGTCATCCATAATAACTTGTCCTTGTATTTGAAACTGAGTTGATTTTTCCTCCTCTCAACTGACATGGTACTTATTTGCCTTTATAACACAATTTTCATTTCACCAATTGTTGCTTGTAGGTCATACCTGATTGTATAATCTGTATTAAATAGCTGAAAGTCAGCAATCAGTTCATAGATCTTCAGAATTTTACTTCTCTGCACTCTCCTTTTGCCCCCACCTCCCTTTGATATATCCATTCCTGGTGATGATTTTGTTGCACTTAAACCTAGTCTTCCCAAAAGATTATACTATTTGAACTCTCCATAAAAATTTGTCTACAACAAATAAGGGAAATAATGCAACCTTTGTTTTTCTGGATCTGGCTTATTTCACTTAGTCTAATTTTTCCAAGTCTTTCTATTTCCTTATAAATGGTACAATATCATTCTTTGTGATAAGATAAATTTCAATAGTGAACATATACCACATTTCTTTGATCCACTTGTCAACTGACAGGCATTTGGGCTGATTTCTTTTCTTGCCTATGGTGAATAGTGCAGCAGTGAACATGGTTGTGGTTGGTGACTTAACTGTAGCCTTATTTATCTTCTATTGCATCAATGCTCAGGAGTGGGATTGCTAGGTAATTGGGTAGTTCTACATTTAATTTTTTGAGAAACCTCCATATTGCTTTCCAGAGTGGTTGACTAAACTTACTTTCCCACCAACAGTGTATTAGAGTTCCTCTTTGGCCACATCCAAGCCAGCGTTTATTGCTGTTTCTTTCCTTGATAATGGCAATTCTAACTGGGGTGAGGGAGTAATCTCAATGTTGTTTTGATTCGTATTTCCTTTTTGGCCAGAGATATGGAACTTTTTTCATGTATCTATTGGGCATTTTTTTTTACTTCTTCTGAATAGTCACTTTTTATGTCATTAGCCCTTTTATCTATTTGATTGTTGTGTCTTTGAGTATTTTTTTTCAGGGTTAATTTTTTTTTAATTTTATTTTATTTTATTTGAGAACATACTGTACAGAGGGGTTACAATTACATGGGCAAGATAATGCATACATTTCTTACCAAGCATTGCAGCCTCCTCCTTTGTTTACCCTTCACCTCCCTTCCCAGCCTCCCCCCTCCCTCCCACCCAATCATACCCCCCTCCCCCCCCCCACACCGACATTGTAAAGCCGGTTTTGACATGACATTTTGTACTTCTCATTGTTGCAACAGGTCCACCTGAATCCTTAAACGACTTGTTTGTCCCCATCTCCTCCACATGTTATACTGACATCAAATATAGTGAAAGCGGGGGTTACAAATGCGTTAGAAACACATGCATGAAAGAAACAAAAACATTAAAATACATATTTGAGGGTTCGTTTTCCTAACATCACATTCTCTGACTTTTTCTGCTTGACTCATACCTATACTAGATATTGCAAATAAGGGAAACCATGGGACCTATGTTTCAGGGTTAATTTTTTGAGCTCAGAGTATCTTCTGGATATTACACTCTTGTCTGATATATAGCTGATCAAATCTTCTCCCATTCTGTGGGATATCTAACTTCAAACTCTATTAAAAAGCTATAGGAATGAAAAAAGCTTGGTACTGACACTGTCGTAGGCCTGAAAACCTAGATATCTACATGCAGAAAACTAAAAGCAGAACTTCATATATCCCTTTTCAACAGCATCAATTCAAATGGATCAAAGACCTCAATGTAAGCCTGGAAACCATCATACTGTAGCAGAAGGGGTAGAGCTTGTTGGCATAAGTCAAAATTTTCTTTCTTTATTTTTTTAATTTTATTTTATTGTAAAGGTGTTGTACAGAGTGGTGACATTACATATGTAAGGCAATGAGTACATTTCTTTCTGAGCAGTGTTACTCCCTCCCTCATTTTCTCCCACTTTTTCCCCCCAACTCCCTTCCAAGTTGTAAAGTTCATTTCCAACATGGTGTCCAGTGAGTATTGTTGTTGCATTGGTTCACCCTTTGTCCCACCATTTCAGTGATTCCCCTTCTCTTCCTCAAGTCAGATAAACTTATATACAAGAAAAAGGGTACTGAAAACAGAAACAGTGACCACAGGGAACAAACCAGAGGAGAGGAAAAAAAAGAAAGAGTAATAACTGCAAACAGTATACTAACAAAAAAGAAGGAAAAAGAAAAACAAAACAACCACAAAACATCTTCTTTCTTCCATATCACAGAGATCATTTTGATTAATGAATATTTCAGCACATTCAGCTCACTCCTGATTTATGTTGATAAATAACATTTTGTTGTATTTCTAGCAGAATATCACACTGATTTGATCTGAAAATTTTAATATCTTGATTATAAATTAGCATTCTCTAATTTTCCATTTCCTGTAGTATTTGGAGAAAATTATTATCAATTAAAATCATTTTTCCAAGGGAGGTATTTGTTTCAGAATGTTGAACGATTTTCTCTTTATTACTTCTAATTTCTTAGACTATAGATAAAAGAACTTAATAACAAGATTATTAAACTATAAAAAATGGCAATGCAAATATCTTTATCCACTTCACTAATTGAATTTGGTCTTGTACACATAAAGAACAGAGAACCATAGAATATTGACACAGAGAAGAAGTGGGATGCAATAGTAGATAAGGCTTTGCCTCTTCCCACTTTGGATTTCATTTTGAATATAATGAAAAGGATATAGGAATATGATATTAGGACTATAGCAGTAGTGAGAATTAGATTTATATTGTGAAGTATTCATTAATAATACTCTGAATCTTACATATTTCTGTTATGTTCCCATTTCCATCTCTAATTTTATTAATTTGGGTATTTTCTTTTTCTTTTTTAGTTAAAAACTTTTTGGCTTATAGTTTATTTTCAGAGCTTAATAAGACAGTCTTGTAATAAGGTTTGAGAGAATACAAATATTTCTTAGTACATCATTAAGATAGGCAGTTTATGGGTATTACATGACATTCTAAAGTATGTAAATGCTCACTTGATTCTAGCATTGTTTTGGTACCAGAACAATGGAAAATTTTAGATAATTCATATAGACTTACTATGGAAAGAATATTTAGATTTTTTTGCTTCTTCAGTGCTGAAGATTGAACCCAAGGCCTTGAGTCCCCCAACCCTTGTTTTCTGAGATAAGGTCTAGGTAACTTTACCAAGGTTGACCTTAAATTCTTGATCCTCTTGCATCTTTCTCCTGAGTACATGGGATCACACTATGTGTCACCACCAGGTTTTCTAACTGCTACTCTGTACTACACTTAGATAAATCTTCACCTTTTAAGTTATAAAAGATAAAGCTCTCTGCAGTGTATGTGTGTGACACCACGTTAACAAGGTACTAGATGTACCATAAAGTGTACTGGGTAATAGGGGCAAATGATGAAAACTTAATGTTCGAATTTTTCATCTTGATGAGTGTAGACATAGGGTAGGCTAGGCAAAAAAAAAAAAAAATGAACCAAAGCACCCATCTCCCACAATTAAGCAGATGCATTTTGCCTGTTTATAATGCAGGTTGACTTAATTCGGATGGAAGCCATTAAGGAAATCTTTGTAATTTAGGTTCTTCTGTAGTCATTCCAAGTATCATAATTCAATTTTTCCTGTGAATTCTGAGACACTATTCATTTCAGTGGGCTTGAAGCATTCACATCTTAAATCAGATAGCTCTTGCTAAGCTGTCAAATGTTGTCTTGCTCTTTGTTAACCCCAGCCATTAGCAATCTTAAATATTATGTAGAAGTAAATCCATGCTCACAAGTATTGATAGAAATGTATGCTTGGATCCCTTTTCAAAGCATCAGATCCCTGAAGAAACAAAAAGGTCCTGACTGCTTTCATGAACAAGGACCCCCATACTGCGTTTGCAACGTCTTTGCAGCAGAAATCAGAAGGTCAAGGAGCCCGGATCTCCTTGACTAACTTATCATAATTTGCCCAGAAGGCATATTTGAAGTTGATTCCAGACCATTGCAACCATAATCCCAAGAAACTGTTTACTTTACCACACAGAATTCCAGCAAGATGCAAAAGCAAGTGAGAAATCATCTCAAAGCAGCATCTTCTACACATTAAAAAATCTCATTAAATCGCACTGCAAACTTCATAGCCTTAAGCTGATAAATTCCAGAGTCCTCTTAATTTCCTGATATGAGGAATCCATTTTCAAGGTGACAAGCAAGGTCAAGAAGAATTTTCTGGCTTTTCTTTGCCATGGCCCATGAACTCCAGTCCTTCAATCGGAATCTCTTTCTCTTTTATTGTTTTCTGAACACAGTGCTGGTAATGCTTGAAGAGATCAGTACGAGGGTCCCTGGAACCGTCCCCTTTGAGGAACTTCTTGGCAAACCAGCTGTTGAAGCACTGGTTGTACTTGAGCTTCATGTTGGTGCAAGCCTCCCCGACGCTGTTCATGCCAATGGCGGCGGCATCCTTAGTTAAAATGTTAAAGGGTCTGTCAATTTTGTTAATTTTTTCAAAGAAGCAACTCTTGGGATATTTTTTAAAATAATTTTTTATTAAAATTAAGTGATCACATACATTTCACAAATTTTACAGTATTATAGGATAGTAATGCTTAAAGTCACAAACACATTTTAATCTTCACAAGGCAAATTGTCATTATATTGGTCTATAAATTGTAACTTTTATAAACTTTGACAATACTATTTCCTCCACATAGGGTGAGATGTACATTTCTTTCCTTTTGCTTAGTGTTAGCTGTTCCCTCTTTCTTTGTTTTGTTTATTCTTTCTCTGATTTTTAAATTCTCTAATTTACTTATTTATTTAATTTTCATTATTTCTGTCTATTGGTTTAGGGTTTGGGCTTGTTCTTGTTTTTTTGTTGGTTTGTTTTGTTTTGTTTTTGTTTTTGGTTCTGTTACGGGGCTTGAATTCTGGGCTTATGCCCTCTTCCTCAGCTCTTCAGCTCAAAGCTAATGCTCTACCATTTGAGGCACACTGCCACTTCTGGTTTTCTGGTGTTTACTGGAGGAGTCTCACAGACTTTTCTGCCCGGGCTAGCTTTGAGCCACGATTCAGCAAACTGAGTAGCTAAGATTGCAGGTGTGAGCCACGGTGCCTGGCTTGTTCTTGGTTTGTTTGTTTTTTGGGGGGGTGGGGGGTCTGGTCGTGGGGCCTGAACTCAGGGCCTGGGCGCTGTCCCTCAGCTCTTCAGCTCAAGGCTAGTGCTCTACCACTTGAGCCACAGCGCCACTTCCGGCTTTTTTCTTTTTGCTTATGTGGTGCTGAGGAATCGAACCCAGGGCCTCATGCATGCAAGGCAAGCGCCCTACCACTGAGCCACCTTCCCAGCCCTTGTTCTTGTTTTTGAAGGAGCATGAGGTACATGAAGTGTTGGTTTGACTTTTCTCTAATTTGTTGATTTAGGCATTTAGAGCTATAAATTGTCCTTTGTGTGCTGCTTTTTCTGTGTCCCAGAAGAGTGGGTCTTTTTATATTCATTTTTATTAAATTCCCTAAATGTTTGAATTTCCCTTTTAATCTCCTCAATGACTCACTGATCATTCATCAATGAGCTGTTCAGTCTCCATGAGTTAGCGAGTTTCTGGCTTTTGCTGTTGAGCTCTAATTTTATTCCATTGTGAATTGAAAGAATGCAAGAATAATTTCCATTTTTTAAAATTTTTCACACATGTGATTTCTGACCTAACATGATCTATTTTGGAGAATGTGCAATAGGCTGTTGAGAAGAATGTATATTCTGATGCTATTGCATGAAATAGTCTGTAGATATCTGTTAAGTCCAGTTGTTTCGTGTTGTTATTAAGTCTGAGTTTCTTTGGTGAATTTTTGCCTGGATGATCTATTCAGAAGTGACGATGTGTTGAAGTTGCCAACGATCAATGTGTTTTGAACAATGTGTATTTTAAAGTCAAGTAATATGTGTTTGCTAAAGTTGGGTGCTTCAGTGTTTGGTTCATGGATATATAGAATTATCATATCATCCTGTAGTAGAGTTCACTTTATTACTATGTAATGACCTTCTTTGTCTCTCTTCATTAATTTTGATTGAAGTCTATTTTGTCTGTTTACTTGGGTCAGTTGCCAGAAAGATTTTATTCCAAACTTTCACTTTGAAAATGTGTCTGCTTTTGTTGGCAAGATATGTCTGTTGTGAACAACGGACAGACAGGTCTTTCTTTTTGAGCTAATTAGTTACTCTGTCTTTTAATTGAAGGGTTAAGTCCATTGATATTGAGGGTTAGGACTGATTTATCTTATAATGCCTGCCATGTTATCTACCTTCTTAGGGGCTGTGCCTCCTCTGTTCTTACTATATTTATCTGGTTCTCTGGTAAGGAGCATTTTCTCTGCAACATCATATTCTTGATTTTCTTTGTGAAGAATACCTCTAAGTATCTAAGTTTGGTGGAGCTATGATATAATTTTGTTAACGTGACAAAGTAAGATTTTGAGCTGGACTTGAAATCATGATCTAATGCTCCAACCACTTAGTAGACTTTTCTATATAAAATTAACTAAGGGATATTTTACAAAATGATAGGCTAAAAATGAATGATTTGCTAGTGTTTAATTATCACATTAAAATATTTTCACTTTCATTTTTACATAATCTAAATCATATCCAGTTTTCTCTGACAAATATCTCAAGGCTTTAACATTTAGTTATCCATATACCATAATAGAGCTGTGGCTAGTTTTAAGTCTTGTATTTATATCAGACATTAGGAAACTTGGTATTAAAGTCTCCACCCACAGTGTGCTTATTCCTTCTGATGAATACCAGCCTATATATTTCCTTAAATCTTTTGTAGAAATCAGTCTTTTTTTGCTGATTTCCATGGACATTTTTTATTTACTTGGTCATTTAAATTTTTTGACTCACTTATTTCCAATCTACTACATTTATTAGAGTTCAATATCATTCAAATTAATTATAGATGTAATATAGTTTAGCAATTATAACAATATTTAGTAATTATAACAATATTTCAACTTTAGAAATGATATATGTTTTTAAAGAATGATAAATATGATTTTTCTTCCAAAACTGCTAATGCCTATGATTTCAGAATATTTCAATTATGCAATTTTGGAGGAGTCAGAGTAGTTATACAAAGGGCATTGTTTTCAAATTAGTTTTATTAGTATTTTCTGCTTCTAATTCTTGTAGAGACCGACCTTAACATAGTTTTTTGTTCTATTCACTCCTATGGTATGATATTATCTTTAGTTTTATTATTAGATAGTTAAATGAATAAAATAAATTTCCCCTTCTTTTTTCACAATTAGCATTTATTAAATATATGAGGGAGGGGGAATTCATTGTTATATGGTCAGATACTTCTACACTGGTTCTAACTTCATTCAAGCTAAAAAATTGCCATAATTTGCCTTTGTATTTTAGTTGCTTGCCTTTGTATTTTAGAGCTACAATTTTTTGCAGGTCCTGAATTGTGAACTCATGGCCTGGGAACTATCTTTGAGGTTTTTGTTTTTGTTTTTTCTCACGGTTATAACTCTACCACGTATGCCATAGCTCCAATTTGGGAATTTTGGTGGTAAATTGGGAACAAAGGTCTCACAATTGCCTTCCTGCTTAGAACCAAAATCCTCAGATCTCAGCTTTCTAAATAGATAGGAGTACAGACATGAGTCATCAGTTCCTGTATCTATAACAATTTTTAAATATTCCCTGGCATTATAATAGTTTGGAAACATATTTGTAGAAATATAAAACATACTGCTTTTGATCATTGTAACATCATAGGATGGTAATTCCACAGAAATAGTTTCTAACAGTTACTACTTGGCTTGAATGATACTGAATCAGAACATAATAAATAAAAATTCATTTTTCTCTTCACTAATACAAAATTTAATAACTTAGGCGAATCACAAGTCAACCTGACTTAAGTCTAGAGTTGTTTTTTAGAACAGCTACTTTATGAATTTACCTCTGCATTTGCTGATATTCAGAATGATCACTTAGGGTTGCATTATTTCTATCCATATGGCTTTAATTTAGGGACAAAAAAGTAGCTAAGCAATAAATGTATTAAAGTATTTTAGAGGTATATATTTTTCTCAGTGCTTACAAATATATTAGAAATCAATCCTTATGTTCTGAATTCACTGATCAAACATCTTATAGAATTGATTAACCAACTAATGTCCTTTGTTTTAGAGACAGTAAGAAGAAAGATTTTTTGTCTTTAAAACTTTGGGGAACATATTTTGAAAATTCAGAAAAATGTCTGTACTTATAAATCAGTGACAATAATATGGTAACTATAGGCCAAAATTAAAGTTTTTCATTGAATCTAAAGGGATTCCCTTGGCATTGACATCAGAATATTTATGTAGAGATTTCTTTTCCTTTTTTTTTTTCAGTTATGGAGTTTGAACTTTGAGCTTGAGCACTGTCCCTGAGCTCTTCAACTCAAAGTGAGTACGCTACCATTTGAGCCACAGCACCACTTCCAGCTTTCTGGTGGTTAATCGGAGATAAGAGTCTCATTGACTTTACTGCCTGGGCTGGCTTTGAACCATGATCATCAGATCTCAGCCTCCTGATTAGCTAGGATTACAGGCATGAGTCACCAACACCTGGCTATGTAGAGATTATAATCCGAGAAGCATGACCCCCCAAACAGCAGTAAACCAGACAAGATTAATTATAGACACATTTTGAGATTCTGAGGTAAAGTCAAATTGCCATCACTGAAGTCCACTTAAAAGCCATCAGTCTTGTTTTTTTCAACCATGTGATCCTACCTCCCAATTTTGAAAACTGCAAAATAATCTTGGATAGAAAAGCAAGTTCTGCATTAATCATTTTAAGTAGGAATTAAGCCTATTTGGAAAAAAATTCAGATTTGTGGATAAGTGGTTGCATCTATACCTATAATGAATGTGATAATAATCCTGCAGATTTATTCTTTGAAACAATTCCAGCACTGTGTTCTTTAGGTCCACTTAAATATCAGAAAATAACTGAAAAGAACTTTTTTGAAGTATGATTGGCATGCCAAAGGCTTTGAATACTAAATATATAAAACTATGAGTTTAGAATTATGTACACATGTATAAAACCATTACAATTACTAATGACATAATCATAAGATAACTTTCCGTTGGTCTCCCATATCCATCTTTTCTCTTGTATAGCTATGATTTTATGCACTAGAAAAGTTTTTAGCTCCTCATTAGTCTTCACAAATTTTACATTAGTATTCCAAGGGTTTGTAGATTAAGTCAATACCACTTATGTCTTAATTTTCTCCCATTCACAGGTAAAAATCCATCTCTGGAGACATTCCCATCACCTCTGTACTTCTTCATGCACTGGATTTTGGTCTTGAATATTTATGTAGAAATGAATGTTCATCTGAAATGCGCTCTTTGTCCTAATCTGCCTTTCAGTCT